GTGGTTTGTGTGATAAGCACTCTTACCTTCTTTAACCATTCCTACGGACAGACATTTCTGAAAGCGACAGAATTGACACCTGTTTCGCCGCCTCTTATCGACGGGACAGTCCTTATTGCCCAGACATACGTATTTGGCCCCCTTTTGCACAGTCCGCTTGAAAAATCCTTTGCATCCTATTAAGAGAGATAACGAGATAATGAATACTCGAGTGGCGGATCTATTTTGAGTATTTGTTTTTCAGAGATATCGCAAAGTATTAAACAAATGATTGCGTTTTCATTCAACTAAACATTCAGTGCTTCTGTTAATGGGAGTGAGAGAGAGAGAGAGAGAGAGAGAGAGAGAGGGAAAGAAGTAGTGGAAAGGTATGTACCTTCGCAGGTGCGGACCCCGTAGTGCTGACAGGCGGCGTTGTCACCGCAAACGGCGCACAACTGACTCGGAGAGGGCGACTCGTTGGGCGAGGACCGGCTGGAGTTGGAGGTGGGAGTCGTCGGGGTATGCATTCGGAGACTCGATTCCGAAGAGGTAGGACTCGGCAGAGCGAGGGCTGGTTTGCGGTGCACTTTCGCACTGTTGTTGAGTTGAGTCAAGGGTTCTGTGGTTTGATATGAAGATATGTTGTGAAGTGAGGGACAGTATTGACTCGTTTTCGACTCGAGTGATGAGCACTGATAAGGGGTGCTGTGCTGTGACTGGAGGGGCTGAGGCTGCGACTGGAGGGGCGAAGGCGTAAAAGTGCTGAACTGATAGCGTTGTTGCGTTGAATTGGCGACAATCGGTTTATCACTGCTCGAGGGATATGTAGCACCGGCCGGGTATGCGCTGCGTTGAGTCAGCGGTGCCGGCGCTCCGTAGCTGATTTCCATGGGTGTCTGTCCGCTGGTGGGCGCCATATACGTGTCGGGCGTCTCTTGCTTGAGGACCAGTGGCGTGGAGTTAGCAATGGGTTGTTGTCCGCAGAAGGAGGCGGGAGATATCGATGGAGATGTGACTGAAGCGACCGAAGCCACTGAGACATTGGAGGGCTGGAGGGAGAAGGTCTCGCTCTCGATGGAGTCCTCTTCAGATCCTATGTCTTCAAACTTGAAGTACATTCCAGACGCGGAAACGGGTTGTCTATAGCGTGGAGAATAAGTCTCGAGAAAACTCGGAAGAATGGCTGCGCTGGGAGTGGATGGGGCCGACGTAACGGATACTGATTGTGGCGAACAGTTGGTCGATGGAGCCGTACTCTGACAGGTCTGTGGTGAGGACTGTTCAGGTTGGCTGTACATGTCAGTGAAGTCTACAAAGTTTGATGAGTCGTCTAACGAGTCCTCAATGGGAAAGTCAAAGAGCTTGAAGTCTTCGAAAGTGTCGTCAATGTTATAAGAAGTGATGCCGAGGTCGGGGCCCAGCAGTGCACCGGTACTACCAAAGGAAGCACTCTGTAAAATAAAAGTCATGTTGTAGTCATTGAAACTCCACTCCGAGTTCTGCTGTCAATGCATTTACAGTGCGGTACAGGTCTGATAGGTTTGTAATACTAGAATAATTGATGCATTGCTTGCATTCACTGCTCAGGTATCTCTCAGGTAAGACCGAAGTTCAATATGAAAGTGTAAAATAAATGTACAAATTAGTCACATTATTGTTTGTGTTGTAGATGCTTACATAATCTATCAGTCCTCCCAAACCTACCCTATCCTATGCCTAAAGTAAACACCACTTCTAGAGCTACTTTATGTCAGAAAATATTTTTATCGATAAATAAGAGTTTTGCAAACTTTATACACACCTTAGCTTTGGGTAAAGCAATACTAATAAACCGAAACACTTAAGAACTGTTATCTCATGAAAAACCAATGGCAGGACTGGAGATGAGTTATATCTTAATAGAGTGCTTGTCTCGGCTTAGGTGGCAAAATGTGCACAATTTTCACCTGATTAGCCGTTATCTCAATGATTGCCAACATTCAAGCATTGATGGCACTGAATGACTGAACGGCACCCAATGACACCCTTGATCTACTTATTGCTGATTTCAATTATTAATATAACAATTACTTTAGAATTAATACAATTTACTATAGAAGTTATCTTGAAATTAATAATTCTTTGCTAACTCTTTAGAAAACACTTTAACTCAACATAAATATAGTATAGAGAGGCGTATAATAAGTTACCAAATCATTAATAAACAAAGTATTGTATTATAATGAAAGCATTGTACAATTTATCAATACTTAAAGATTTTTAGCTTTAATAATGCACTTGATTAGCTGAATTGGTAGCAATTGAATGAATGGGTGCCATACCTGTGGTTGTTGGAGTAATATCATGGTTGTGTCCAATTTCAAAGCCCTCTGAAGTGTTGCCGCAACGGTATCGATACCGTGCAGTTGGCCTCCAGTGGTTGCGTTGTTATAGTTTTGAAAATAACAATACTGTTGGCTATTATTGCAGTTCAGTTGAGAATATTGTCCGAAGTTTGAACTCTCGGTTCGCAACTTCTTGTGACAATTCTTGATGTCTGAAATGAAACCAAAATACAGACTATTAAAGCATTAATAATAAAAAGTTTATAACATACTATATAACAGTATGCATTATTCTGCTTACACTTGAAGTTTTTAAAAGTTTATTGTGCTAGTCTTATAAGTTTTATTTTATACGATTTTACAAATTATATTTAAAACTTTACTCAGACATCACATAATATTGTTTGAGAATACTTCTTAAAGTTTTTTTGTAAGAAACTAATAATTTATCAGAAAACCAATTAAATGTATGAAATATAAAAATCGTTGCATTATTATTGGCAAACAGAGTAGAGAATCAAAGAATTAGAGAATATGCGCCAAAAATGCAGTTATTTATGCATAACATGACGTAAAACAAGTGCAGAATATATAGTATTGTATTAAAAGTACTGAAGCTCTGGTGCACAGGAATGGGATGAGAGAGTAGTAGAGAATAGTATAGTAACTGTAGTATGGGTTGAGAACTATGCTCTAAATGTGTTGTTCATGACGTACAGAAACTAATGGGAAAAAAATGATGACTACAACTGACGCAATGAGAGGTATGTCTATACTATGTGTATCTATGGCTGAGTTCTTCCGTTTCTAAGCGTCATTTGCGTCACTGTTTAGGTCATAGAGAGGAGAGGGATGTGAAGAGACTATGGGTTTGAATGGAGAGAGGGTCGGGAGTTCAGCTGCGATCGATTGTTTGTTTACGTGATATGAGTGCAAACGATTGAGTTTTGTTAACTAATCGATAAAAAGAGCGCATATTTAATGTAGTAATGCTTACGACAACTTGTATTGTATGAAAGACCGACTCAATAATAATAAGGACACACATACTAAAAATAGAAACATCAATAGAAAGCTTTTCATTGATATTTTCTTATTTCTAAATGCATTTACTATTTTAGATAACTATTTTGCTCAACAAAACGTCTCAAAATATATCAATATTTGCTTTAAATTCGCGAAACAATATATTAATTAAATATAAAGCAAAACATTAAAATATTATCAAAACTTACGATATATTGGAGACAAATTTGAAAAATAGCAATAGATTTGTGGTAATAAAGGATGCAAATATACAATTAGATATTGATTTTGAAATTTTGTATATAATATCTATAATTTATAAGAAGTTGGAAACTAATAATTGATAAATAATTTTCGCATAACAATAGAAAGTCTGGTATTATCTCATAAGCAGAGATACGGATAGAAGTGAATGAATAGAGTTATGAATAAGTTTCCAAACGAGTAGTAAATAGGAGTTCAAGCAAAATATGGTCCAAACAAATAAATTGATGAATACCTGCACTCTTGGTGTGATTGCGGGGATTGTGTGGAGAGTTATGCCAACGATAGCCGAGTTTTGGGTCGAAATCAAATTGAGATGAAGTTGAGAATGGATGCGATGTCTTCACACAATTGATCCTCGCGTTGAGTAGTTGAGGATGTGGTGGTTGTGCCAGATTTGCAAGTGATATCACAATATTGTGACCACTTTAGCGAGAACAATTAAAAGAGACTTGGATTTTGTGTTATGACTCTTGCAGTGTTTGGCTGTGATCTGACACTAGGCTCACCACGAGTTTAGTATATATTTGTTGGCTTACGTTCTCCAGTGAATCCGTCTCTAAGACAACACAACGTCTTGTCGGACGTCAAACCATGTACTCTGACGTCAAATCCTATCGATTCCAGCGCTTCCAACCAATCTGTGGCTCGGATTCGTTGTTCACTTGTATTGACTAATTGTGCGGCACAGCAGGTCTGCGAAAAACGTCAAAATTACGTCATTTCACAGAATTTCACAGAACCTGAAGAATTAGTCCAAAAACTACAATAACTATAGCTAAGCATCACTAGCTGTAGGAATAGCTATAGGAATGGCAATCGATTTCTCGCTGCAAACCTTTCGTACATTTCATCGCTTATAGCGTACAGTACTCTCGCATTCAATGTCTGTATTCCTGACATGTTTTGCCCACATATTCAATGAAATCCTATTATTTTTATATTTAAATTATGTTTCCCATCAAAACGTACAGAATTGCACACAAATGTACTATTGTTTTTTGTTTCTCAAAAATAATCACAACTATTCAAAGAATTGATATGAAAAATATTATTAGAAATCTTTTGACATAAATAAGTACGAAATTCGTGATAATTTCTAAACACAAACAATTAATTTTGATTAAGAAAAGAAATTATTTATCAAAATATTGTGTTTGAATGAGAGATAACAGGAATTGACAGCAAATGACAACCAATTGATTAGATTTTGATATAATATTTCGAAATACATATTAATTCAGTGAAACAAAGTGTTGAATAGACAATAAATACATGTCTTGAACATTTTACTCCTAGCAAAATGATTATTCACGTTCACAGCCTGTCGGCACATGATTGGCAATAAATTGTACATTAATATTGAGTTTGAATTTTTCCCACAATTATAAACATAAAAAGTTGTTTGGATATTTCCCGATATATTAACTTGTTTGATTTATTTTATTATACTTTGTCTGAGATTATAAATTGCCCAATTTTATTTGGAATTTTATAATGATTTAAGTTTTATTATAATACATTTTTAGTTGATATTATTTTGTTTTCTAGAAACTTATTTTTTAATATTTAAATTTTTGTAATAAATTAGCAATATTTCTTAGTGTAATGCGTTTTCATCTAACGTTATATACAATACAATTTTATATATGAGTACAAATTAATATTGATAGTAACAGATAATCAAATGTTAATTAATGATTTAATATTCATTATAACTTATCAATTTAATTATAATTATTTTACCTTTTAATATTTATAAATTATAATTATATCCATACATTTCATATTTCGTTTTACAGTTGTGGATATTTTTAAAAATATAATTCATAAAATTGATTTATAAATTTTTACAATATTTATAAAAATTGGTTACTTTTAAAAATAATTTATAGATTACATTTACTCTTATATTATAGTATATTAGTATAATAAATAAATTGTAAAAATATAATTTCTATTCTTAAAATAACATTTTTGTAAAAATATTTTTTGTTGAACACGTTTTTATTGATTGTTTGTTTTAGAGTTATTAATGCCAAAAACATATTTTTCTCAAAATTTTTATATAATAATAATAATGTAATAATAATAATGTTAATAATAATATCTCGTAAATGAGTTGCAGTGACATAAGATTACCTTACTGTTTATACAAAACCTACGGATTTTTCTATTTTTGTATTCCTACTTTAAAATTGTAGATATGTTTATTTATTATAATTAATCAGTATACAATATTACAAAAATATAGAATATATTTCTAAAAAATATTTTTGTAATATCAATAATTTGATAAATTAACAGTTTACTGGTTTACTGAAGAATAAATAATTATGCCTCAAAAGCAAATTATTCCTATACAATTAAGTTATGAAAGTAAAAAATATTTATTTGATATTTAAAAATAGTGTTATTTTATTAAAACAAATGAATTATTAAAAGTATGTCCATTTTTTTCGATATGTTTATTTAAAATGAATAATTTTTATTGTGTGAATTTGCAAATATTAATCCGCTAGTATTGTTATACAGCACTACTAAGCAATTATAATCTGTTCTGCAAGTATCATGAACACTGTAAATCAATAATAGACATATCAGCAACTGTTTATACATTTGATTAAACACTAACTTAATGCACAATTAATAAACAGATAAATAAATATGTTAATAAATATTACGATATTATTTTCTGAAATTACAGTAATTAAGGTTATTCATTAACATCAAGGTATTGTAAACCTGAATTTTATTGCAGTATTTTTCTGAACATGAAATTCTAAATTCTTTATGCAGTTAATTTTATACTTATTATGCTAATTTATATTATTAAATATATAAATAAGTATAAATAAAATATTCTTTTCAATATAAAAAAATTAATTTTAAATTCTGAATATACCATATTTAAATTTTAAAACTAGAATAAATTTATATAAGTTTACATAAGGATATAATAATAACATTATAATTCTTTAAAAAATAGTAAGAATTGTTAATTATTAGTACATCTAATGGAAAAAATTTTATTTTAAATAAAAATAGATTATAAAATATGGTATGTAAATATTATTTGAAATAAAAACTATATGCAAATATAATAATGCGATAAAAATAGTGTACAGAAAAATATAATGCTCATCCAAATAATGATCTATAGATAGCAATGGATATCTATTTGAAGAGATGGTCGGATGACGTCCCAAAGCACGAGAATCTGACGCAAGAATTCATAACTTTGAGCACACATTGTATACCATTGTATGCCATCATCTTATATAACACATACCGAAGAAAATATTTCAGAGCTTTGTGTTATTTTTAGGTATTTAGTCTAAAAACTAATACAAATTCATGCTTCACTTGTCTATATAGTATATACACTATAACTTAATAATTAGTTGAAAATCAATACATTTGTCGATTATGTCGTGACTCACAATATTAAAAGCAATTTGTTTCGTATGAATTCAATGGATTTTCGTCATTGAAATACATAAATATTTTATGACATAATGGATGCATGACTTGCGCTAATACTAGTAACAAATAATTACATTAAAATAATTGACTTGTTTTAGCAATGAACTTCATGTGTATGAAAATGACGCACATTTGCGACAGAAATAGTTTATGAGAAATTGACAGTTGCCTTAAGATTTTGACAAAAAATTCATTTCGTATCAAAGGATTAAATATTTAAATATTCATTTCAATACATTATTCTTATGGAAATTTTCAAACATTAATCCTATAGTAAGCCTTAAATGAGCCTTTCCTGTAAGCATCACATGATTGCACCAAAGCTTATATTTCGCTAAAAATTTCATTTGATTTAAATTTAAAAGTTGATTTTATTAAAAGTTATAAAAATTTAAATTCATTAAGTTTAATTAAAATTATTACCATTTTTACTATTATTTGTTAGCTTAAAATAAAATTTTACAATTTTTAAACAAATCAAATAGTTTTTATTGATTAATAATATAATAATAATTAATTACAATATATGTAATAAATTATATAATATATAGTTAAAATACATTTCATTTGTAACAATTAAAATTGAAATGAATTATTTAAACTAAACTGGTGAGAAAATATATGAAAATTGTAAATAAAATAAAAACAAAACCTTACCTCCAATTAAAGGTTTAATATGAGAGACAAAATACTTGATTAAATGAAATACTAAGGCCTCACATATTATGTTAAATTAATCCTTATGTTAAGTGAATGTAGTCCTGATTTGTACAAAACTTAACACAACTGTTGTTTAAAAACAAATTCTATTAAAAGTAACTGAAACTACATTCAATACTTTGACAAAAACCACAACTGAAATCACAAAATCACATAAAACTAAGGTTTAGAAAAACATTGATTAGTGATAATCCCATTCCTCACATGAATTTCTGGTAAAAAAGCTTTTTATTTATTTTATTTGTTTAATTTTCAAACAAAATTCAAATTAAATGAAAATCAAATGTAATGAAATGAGAAAACAATCCAAAATTGTGTACAACTATTACATATGAAACTATGAATTAGCCCGATCAATCGGAAAACAAAGTGATTATAATAAAATATAATTATAATGTAAATGAGAGAAAACTTTGCATATAATAAGTCGGCACAAAAAAGTCGGATATAATATATTTGGTGAGTGTTTGGCGTTTGGGATCACAAGTGAAGGAATAGTAAGAAACTGCACACAATTTTCTCTCACTTTTTATACTCAACACTAAATTTCGAGTGAACTTTAGGCCCCAATTCATGCCAACATTTTTGCTTTATTTTTGCACATTTTCTATACAAACTAATGGGAGACGAGAGCGTCAATCGACGCCTATATCCATAGAAACACATTTTTGTCGATCCGTTTGCGTCACTCTTATGGTCGAAATTCTTGGGAATGACGTCAAGACTGAAGGCAACTATATTTGGAGTACAATATCGTGTATTAGTTGTGAACCGATATACTGTATAAACCCAGAGCTGTTTGTGCGCCCAATAATTATATTGCAAAACAAAACATACTATTATGTCATCTAATTATGCGTTCAATCGATTCCCATTTAAATAATGAAAACTTTGCAGAATTTCTAATATTCTGTAGGCTTTGTCGTCTTGACGTACACTACAGTACATCAATATATCGATCCACAGATTACACTCCACTTGTATTCATGTATTTGTCAAAAGTAGTCGATATTCTGCTGCATATTTGTCTCATAGTAAAAATATAGGAGAATTTATTTTTATATGTTGTGTAGTAAAAAATATTTAAAAACATTAAAAACTGCTGATATTACTATTACTACACTTACATCTACGGAATACTCGAAACTTATTAATTATTGTATATGTTATAAAATTTTAAACTTATGTTATCGATTTGTTTATTTGCAATTTTAATATAGAAAATGATTTTAAAAAAATTAAACTTTTTAAATACTAAATAAAATATATTAGTTATTTAATACAGTATTAACAATAACAATATAAATAATATAAGAAATGAAAATTCAAAATAATTTTATATTTCATGTATTTGTTTAGTATTAGAATGAAAACTAATAATCTTGAAATGTTTAGCATGAATTTATTAGCAATAAGTAAAAGAGTTATTAATACAGTATGTTTTGCATTGTATTAGATACTAACAATGACATTTCAATTGATATGATATGAATTGAATTAATGAGTTACATCTGAAAGAGTTTTACAGTACTTATGAAAGCACAGCTTCTTTACACGTTTGCCCCCTTTATATAGTATATAAGAATCATTGATTAACACATAATTAAATGTTAATTTAAAATAAATATTCATTGGTTTACATGTAATAAAATGCACAGAATATCAGTAATAATCGTGAATATAATTTGCACGGAATATGCAGTAATAGCT